TCACTTACTAATTTGTCATAATAATATAATTTATAAATCTATTAATTAAATTTTATTATAATTAATTTTAATAAACTTAATTTATATTTTAATATTATTATTTTTAAGTAAAATATTTATAAAATAATTATATTAAAATAATTAAAAAATTAATTTATAAATTTTAAATTATTAATTAATATATAATAAAATAAATCTTAAGTTTTAATAATTATAATTAAATAATTAATTATTTTTAGATTATATTATTATTTATTTTACTTTATTATTATATTTTTTAATAAATATATATTTATTTGATTTATTTTTTTATTTTTCTTTTATATATATTATTTTTATTCTTTATTAATTTCATTTTTTAATATCTTATAATTTTTTTAATATATTAATAAATATAAATATAAAAATTTAGATATTTATTTTTTTATAATTTAGTATCTTGAAAATTTTCTTTTATATAAATTTTTTTTATTTACTTATATATATTTTATTTAATAATTAAGAAAATATTAATAATAATATTATCAGATTTTGTAATATCTAATAATTATTTTAATATATTTTTTAAAAGCTATTAATAATATATAATATTTTACAAAAGTATCTGATCTTTTTAGATTATATATAATATACTAAATTTTTTCAAGTATAAAAAATATTATAAATTCTAATCATGATATCTTTTATAAATTAGTAAAGCTTTTATATTAAATATTATATATTCATAAATTTTTAAGTTTTAAATATAATTAATTATTTTATAATATTATTATAATGAATCTGATAAATAAGTTTTTACTTGAATTTATCTTAACAATATTTAATTAGAAGAGACTAAATTAATTAATAATTAAAGAGAGAGAAATTAGACTATAACTTCAATATTAATAAAAATTTCTAAGATTTGTATCAATATTTACAAATATTATCTTTAAAAGAGACAAACTATAAAAGAAAAAAATAATATAAATCAAAAAAATTATAAAGATTAATAAGTAAAGCTACTATTAATTAATTATGATTTGAGATTTAAAGTAATTAAATAGTAAAACTACTATTAATCAAAGAATATTATAACTAAAAAAAAATAAAACTGAGATAAATAAAAAACTAAATATTAAATAGATATAGCTTATTTATAATAAAGATCTTTTACTTTCAAAATAATAAAATAAATAAAATAAAAAATATGACTTATTTATAATAGAGAACTTTTATTCTTAAAAATATAAAAATAATATCAAAAATAAAAATTAATATAATATTATATTCAAATTAAAATCAACTTTATATGATCAAAAAAATAAAACTAAGTAAGAGAAAGAATACTAGTATAATTAGAAAAGAAATCTAAAAGATTATTATTATTATAATAATAAGCTTTTTAATTATATTTTTTAAATAATTTAATCTAAAACTATTTATTTCAAGTTAGAATAACAAATTCTTTTATATATTTTTTGAATATATGAATTATTATAGTATTACTAATTAATATTATCTAAATATATATACTAATACTTTAAAATATTTCAATTATAAAATTTATAATCTGTTTAATATACTAAAATATTGATATATTAATATTTTATTATTTTATTAGAATATTAGTATTTTATTATTTTATTAGAATTATTATTTCATCAGAATGTTAGTATTTTATCATTTACCAGAATGTTAGTATTTTATCATTTCATAAAAGATTAAAGAGATCTTTCTCTAAATTAAGTATATAAAATATAAATTAAAAATATAATCTCAAATTAAAAAGAATAAAATATAATATTTAAAATATAAATATAAATATAAGGAATAAATATAATAAAAGAAATAGATATATAATTAGATAAAAATAAGGATAATTATATGATAAATTATATAATTATAAAAAAAATAATATTTTGCATAATCAAAAAAAGATTATAAAATTAGAGAATTTTATATTACTATAATAATAATATATAGCTTAATATTTAATAATTCAATTTTTGATATTCAGTAATCTGATTTAAATAAAAATAAAATTATTTAATTTATTTAGTTGAGATAAAATTATTTTGATACTAATTAAAATAAATTTTTCAATTTAAAATATAATATCTTGATCTTTAGTAATTTGATTTGAATAAAAATAATATTATTTGATTTATCTAGTCAAAATAAATTGAATAATATTATTTTTATTTGAATTAAATAATTAGAGATCAAAATATTATATTCTAAATTATTCAATTCATTTTTTTAATAATCAATTTCTAATAAAAATTGATTAATAAATTTGAATTATTTATTTTATTTTAATATTTAATAATTTTATTTGAGTAAAAATATTATTATTCAATTTGTCTAAATTAGATAAATTATATAATATTATTTTTTATTTAAATTAAATTACTAAATATAGAGATATTATATTTTAATATAATTAATTTATTATATTTAGATATAAAAGTTTATAAATATATAATATCTAATACAAAAACTCTATTAATTTATAAAAGATATTATAATTAATATTTATAATATTCTTTATATTTGAAAATATTTAATATATTATATATAATTTATAAAAAGTTAGAGAAGATTAGATATTTTTATAATTAACTATATATAATAATATGAAAAAGATTTCAATTTATTTATTTTATAGTAATGATTAAAAATAATAATTCAAAAGCTAAATTTATTAATAAAATATAGTGAAAATTAAAATTTTCTCTCTATATTAAAATTTATAATTTTAATTAAGAAATAATTTTTTATTTTTATATCAAAATAAAGTTTATTTATTATAGTTTAATATATATTTTTTCAGATATTTCAGATTTTTCTAAAAGAGTTATTCTAATTATAAAGTTAGTGCAAAAATTTTTATTAATAAAATTTCATTTTTAATTAGTAAAAATTATTATATTAACTTTATAATTAGAGTAACTTCTTCAGAAAAAATCTAAAAAAATATATAATAAATTATAATTAATAAACTTTATTTTAATATAAAAATAAAAATTATTTCTCTATATTTTATTAATAAATCTAGTCTCTAAGTTATTATTTTTGATTACTATATTTTTTATTTTGAAAATATTTTATATAAATATATAAATATATTTTTTATTTAAAAATTATTAATTATTTATTTTATTATTAAATACTAAATATACTTTAAATTTAATATAAGATATTAAAATATTTTGATTATTAATGACTAGTAAATATTATATAATTTATTTTCTAATTAAAAATATATTTAGATTTGTAATAAATATATAATAATATTGAAAATATAGCTTTTTTTAATTAATTATATTTATTTTATAGCTTTTTTATACAAATAACTTTGATTAAATAAAAAATATATCTTATAAATTTTTAAATACTTTCAGAATCTGTTTCTGCTTTTTGATAATTTAAAATTATATACTGTTAATTCTCAAAATTATATAATATATTAGTAATTTTTTTGTTATTATTATTATTATTACTTCTTTATTTTCTAATACTAGTATTAATTATTAATCAGTTTTAATTTTCTCTAAATTATCTCATGTTATATTATTATTAATATAATTATTAAAATTTGCTTGCTCTCTTGCATATTGAAAAGTTATATAATTATTAATAATTGTAGCAGATTATGAAGATATCTCACTATTACTATCAGAATCAAAGTTATAATTAGCATTTTCAAGCAAATTGTATTCAAGATTAGAATAAATTCAAATATTATTTAGAAACTAAAATATTTTATCTTTAAGATAAGTCTTATAAGTAGCCATTATAAAATGAATGCTATTTAAATAGTATTGATATAATAAATAGTCAAGATTGAAAGAGTGTTAACAGCTAAGATAGAGATTAATGTTAAGTATTAAATACAAATTTTTGATATTTATTTTATGGGCAAACATCTTGTTGGTATTAAAATATATATATATATATATTAAAAAGAGAATGTAAATTTTTCTTAACGACAAGCTGTAAAAACTGCTTTTCATATTAAATAATGATAATGAAACTTATTTTTATCATTCAGAATCATGCAGAATGAGTACTTTTAAAATAGATATGATTTTCAAATAAAATGCAATTATTCAGATGATATTGATGAAAAGTTTTAAATTGTTATCTTTTATTAAAAGAAACAAAAAAATAAAATCAATTCTAGAGAATCTCTACTTGATAATCCATTAACAATTTTTGCGTGATGGCTTCTTTCTATTTTTCTAACCATTGATTTATTTTTATTAAAGCTTCGATAAATTTTGTTACATTAAAATGCAAAATGAAATTTTTATTCATTCATGGTTAGTCAGATAGAAAATGACATATCTGATCTAAATTAGGTAATTAGGTAGACACCCACGTATATATCATCATATCGATATTATATGAATGGAATTTTATTTAAAATATGGATAATGGTAACGATGATAATAAATGGGAAATTCAATTTTTTAATTTCCCACCATCTGCTAACCTTTGCTATTTTAATCGATAGATATTATCATACATACACAACGCTCGTTTTAACGTTAAGGTTATTTTTTGCTACAGCTTTTATATTAATAATATAAATGGGAAATATCTTCCATTGATCGCTCTTTATCTTAGAGCATTGTAATAATTTACCTTTAAAAATGTCATAAAATAAACAAACAGAGCAGATAAAACTCTGATTTATAATATGCAAAATAGTTGTCAATCATATATAGTAAAAAAATTAAATGCAAAAATAGGGGGACATGTCCTGTGTGGGTAACTTCGTTAAAGAGCAGCAGTCTGAATCCATTTTTGAAAATTTGATTGTATTAGAAAGCTAAAAAACTTTTTAATTTTTGTAAAATTTTGGGTGAAGTGAGTTGTGCAATGATTTTTTTCAACAAAACTTCTATTTCTTCCATGCATATAAATTACATTCATGAAATACAATTTTTACTTTATCATTGGATATCATTATTTACTGATAATATTAATACACTGTATCTTAAAAATCCAGCTCACTTCTCCGAATTTAAATTTTGATTTTGAATTATATTTCTATAAGAATCTGTAAATTCTTCTAAGTCGCCCACATCCACAACGTAGTCTCTCAAGAATAATTCAAGTGCTTCACTTCGTCTCTCGAGTGCCGTTATGCGAGCGGATTCTGATGCGTCTAGGTCATCATAGCTTGGTCTTTCATCAACAAGAGGGACAAAATCATGGAAACGTTCGCCGAGTTTCATTTTAAGTTTATGTCTGCATCCATAGACTTCTTGAGCCCAACCCCAAGGTCCGAGTTGAGGGGCACCTTTTTATGAAATGGAAAATAGAATTTGAGTGATATATATTCATTTTCATACTTAGATTATATTAGGATGAAATTGAAGGATACCAAAGCAAAACGCGTAAACAGCCATCCCTAGACCAAAACCACCACCGAGTGAACTCAAAATTGAAAGAACCTTTTTATTAGAGAAAGAAATAAGAGATAAGTGCGTGAACATAATTTAGGGAATAAATGTTATTTAGGATAGCGATCTTACCGTTATGTCTCTGAATTTGTTTAATAAAATCACAAATAAAAATTTTGTAAATAAAAGAGACAACATTCGTTTCATGTGTTGCTTTTAATTTTAAAGTCAGTTTACTCACCTTGTTTGTTCATTTATAGTTACAATTCGGCTTTCGTAATATATTTCCAGAGTTGCGAAGTATTTAAACGATGATGCGTTGTACGGGTTAACGGATTCTAAATATTTAAAGAATTGAATAAAATTCTTATGGAACAACAAATAAAATGACAATAGATACATACGCATTTTAGTATTTATAAGCGCATATTCATTCGGTTTTGCTCCCAGACCAAGATGATTTCTGAAACGATGACCATCAAGGTCATTATTAATTATCCTGTTAAAATAGATAATGCTCCGCTAAAATAAAAATCAAATCAATTATTTGGCTATCTAATATCAAAAAAGCATCGATGGAACTACATAGACATGTAATTACCTGATTTGGAGGAATTAAATAGTCATTAGCGTTAAGTGCTTCTTCATAAGCAACACTTGCATTTCCTTTCTTTTTCGAAAAATCAGTTTTATCGATAGCTAATAAAAAGAAAATCAATCAATTTTGTTTAAAATGCAAAGAAATTTAGGAAAGAGACATACTCGCATCATATAAGGAGATTTGTAATCCGGAAAACAAGGCCTCATTATCTAATGATTCTAAGTTCGATGTGTTGGAATTCAGCTGAATTTGTACTTGAATCCCGTATATTGAGTCATTAGTCAATTTTATTGGTATATCTCCGGTATTATCAAATATATAAATTGTATTGCCATGAGCCGAATCCAAATGGCTGCTAAGAAATTCATTGCATGTTTTCCCATCATTCGTATTTATAACTGTTAGGTCTTGAAATACAAAGAAAATTAATGAACTTCTTTTTGTCTAATAAATATGTCTACCAAATTTGAGATGACACATCTTATTATTACTTGTGCTCAGAAAGTCACACGTCGGGTTGTATGCCATACTGGTAGGTCCAGTAAGTAGAAATACTAAAAATTTAAATCCACTTGAATAATTTTTTTCTTATTTTTATTAAAAAGGTTTACAACTTAAAATGAAATTGGCACCTGGAGCAGGTATCTGGTCATCTATTCTAGTACTTGTTGTAAGATGTGGAACCTCTCCTACCATTTGGTCTATTAGATAAACTAGATAGGCCAGACTACCAGCATAAATCATATATATAAAGAAAAATTTTATATAACGAAAAAAAGTAGGTTCTGTTTGACGTTCTGGCACTATGTCAAGGAAAAATTTTTTAAATAAGCGTAGAATTGGTTTTTGCATTTTTTTCTTTCTATCCATTATTGTAAAAAGTAAAAAAAAAATGAAATTAAGTAGATATTTTTTATATGTCCTTATTGACGCGTAAACCTTGCGAGTCTAATAGTTTTATAAAGTTTGTGGTGGATTCGTCATATACCACGTTTACTGAAATTTCACCACATCGAATCTGATTAGAGCGTTCGAATAAGTACATGTCAATAAGAGATTACATTTACCAAGTTTAGTAGATCACTCGTTGACTTTGATTTTTTAAACAAAGAACTACAAGTTGTAAACTCTTGGCTAGCAGGCAGCCAATCAAATACAACCGTACAGTTTAACGAACAGTGCAAGATACCAACTTAATTCCTGCATGTGCGGGGTTATTGCTTTTCTCAACACATGTATCCTATTACGACTGCGGATAATGCAATCATTTAATTTGTCATCTGCGAATAAACGTTAAGAGCTACCAATTTTTAAATAAATCGATTGTTCATAGATGTTGCACTATACATGTATTTACTAAAAACAAATTTTAGGCAACAATGCATTTTTACTATCACTGTTAACGTTAATGATGCACGTAACTATTTAAGGAAAACAACGAATTGAATAAAATGGACAAATTCATTCTCATAAAAACACAATTGAGCGAGCAGATTACCTATTTACCTATTTTTGTGCAATAAAATAAGAACAGCATACATGTACGAGTATGGAAAATTGATACAAAAAATTTTCACTTTTAGTTCTAACTTATTATCATCGGTTTTAATGAATATGAACCGGTTTTGGTCCGGTTTGTATATTCCGAAAACATTCATTTCATTATTTAATTTTGCTTCGAAATGTGATCATTTTTTAGTATGATATTATCCCAATTAGTTCGAGGGGCGTAACAGATATTACCGTTAACCCACCTCAAATAAGTCATATGATTTTTATTATAGATCTTAATATATTTTCCATATTAGGATTAGTAAACGTAAGATTTTTTGTGGCTCACCCACTCGGGTATTACGCAATATCTGTCACTCCCTTGATTAGTAGAAATGGAATGCAATCTGAAAATACTCCAATTAGATCCGGTATATTTTTATTATTATATTATATGTATTTTTCAGAATTTAAGCCGAAAATTCAAATTAAATTTAGTAAATTTTATTAATATAAACGGAATATTATCAGGTAAATTCATTTAATATTTATTAATAGAGCCACCTGTAGTATATTCTAAAAGATGTTAAGATTAGATTCTGAAAATATTATTAAATAATACATGGAATACCCCACATTTTTAGTTTTTTACGACTGTTCTATTAGATCTTTTTTAATTTCAATACAAACATCACAAAATAACAAAAAATTAAATTTGTACATTTAAATACCTGAAATATTCTATTCTTTTGCACTTCTAATGCTGATAAATATAGTATGAATAAAGAAAATCTGTTTCTTTTTCACCAGTGTTTTCATTCTTTTTTGGAATTGGATTTTGCAGCGATCCCGATGAAAACTAATCAGTATTATAAATATTGTTAGTATTATCATATTTTGTGAATATTTTATACATTTACTAATGTGTTAACCATGCCAGTAGATATAGATGTAAGAGAGGTTGGTGTACAAGTAGCAGTGTGAATAAAGTTGATGTAGAAGTTGGTGTGGAAGATTATCATCATTTCTTGCTACAGAATAATTGAATTTATCAAGAGCTGAAGTAGCAAAGCTATATTCGAAGTACAGTGGCCTATCATAAATCACCGGACACTTGATGACAATCATCATCAATGCAAATTTGTTGCCAACTTAAAACTCGATTATCCTGACAACCACTGTATCAATTTCAACAAATTTTGGTTTATTTGTAAGATGAAAATAAACTGTTCCGTTTTGTTTATTAATAGTTTGTTGGGTAGCCATTACTAGCTATGATTACTGTAACTCGACGTGGCATACTATCAACGAGATTTTTGTATTTACTTTCATCAATTTGCAGCCACTCATTCTAAAGTATTTGCCATAATTCTTCACAGTTTTTGTGTAATGGTTCATGCATTTGAACTCGCCTTTCTAATTCATCCCATAAATGTTCTATGGGATTCAAGTCAGGGCTCTGGGCGGGCCATGGAATACTACTTATATTATTTTCTATCTTCCATTTTTTAGTTTTGCTTGCTGTATGGACAGGTGCATTATCTTCCTGAAAAACATAATCCTCCTTATTATCTAGAGTATCTAGGAATGGTAATAAATGATTTTCTAGCACATCTATGTATACATTGGCTATCACTCTCCCCTCCAACCTAACTAATGGACTAAGACCATTTTTTGTGAAATAACCCCACACCATTACTCCTTTTTGACCTGATTTAAATATTGGAATAAGGCATCTAACATCATATCTTTCATGAGGTAGTCTCCAAAACATACTTCTTACCATCTTCTCTGAACAATTCAAACCTAGATTTATTACTCCAAATAATAGTTTTCCATTCTTTTTCCTATGTTTGCTATTCCCAAACCCAGAGAAGTCTCTTTTGCTGATTGACTTCATTCACAAGTGGTTTTCTGGTTCTGATCCGACCAAAGAAACCTTGTTCATGTAAGTGATGTTGAATGATAATCATACTTACATCAGTTAAGGTAGAGGCAACAAAGTTTTTGCATAGTTCTTGAAGATTTGTGTGTCGATTTTCTTTAAGAATTCTTTGTAAATGACAATTATCTCTGTCATTATACGTGGTCTGCCACTTTGGGAAGGGGATTTTTCATAATTAGAACTTCGGTAAACAGAAATAATGTCCTGTACAATACTTTTTGACTGATTTAATGTTTCAGCAATTTTTCATATACTGATTCCACACTTTCAAGTACCAACAATTTCTCCACACTCAAAAATGAAGAGCTCTTTTCGTTTAATAATTTTATTCATTGATTCAAAGCTTTTAGAAGATATAATTTAGCATGTTGCAAAGTTGAAGTAAAGCAAATTCAAGGAAAAAAAAGAATAATAAAATCAACAAAGTCATTGTGGAGAAAATCTAATTCAAACAAACAGTGTTATTTGCAAAATGACTGGGAATCACATGATGTTCAGTGACTTTTGATAGGCCACTGTAGATACAGAATTTGCAATATTTTCATTCTTATTCAAATTTTCAACCATAATAGAAATGAAAAACTAATAAAGATATTAATACTGAAATTTGAGGTAAGCATTAAATTTTTCTATTGTAATTTGATATCAGCAAAAACCAATGGAAAGCTCTAATAGGATTTAATTTAATTGAAATTAATTTCGTAACATGGTAAAGTTCAACAAACTGGGTAATGAGTTAATTGAAAATTAACTTTAAAGAAACACAGGTTCAGTTGAAATTATAATAGCATAGTGGATGGCAAGTATTTGAGGAGATGACAGAATAATTTAAGCTGTGCGTTAAAGAAAAAAGTAAAAAACAAAATTAAAAAACAAACAAGATAAAAAAGAGCAAAATACATGTGTTAATCGATATAAACGTTGCTTGGACAGAAAGTATTCGAGAAATATTTCTAGTTTGAAAGTATCAAGAAAAATGTTTTACAACCGCACAAGTCAGAAGATTATCTTTTTACTGTTCAAAGTTAATAAGAATCAAAATTTTTAATCTTTATTTTTAGAATGCAATCGTGTTATTTTCGAAATATATCTAGATTAAGTTTGAAATTTTAGATTTTGATCAAATAGTATTCGGAATATAATTGGAACATCTTTAAAGTTTCCGACATAATACAGATTTAAGTTATTCAATGAAAATTTGAATCAACTGCTACTAGGCAACTAAAATGTAATTGATAATTTAAAATTTGTTATTTATTGCTAGAAAAAATGACTGTAAATTAATTATTTTTCGATTTTCGTTAGTATTAATTTTTTCAAATTATTGTGCGGTATGAATCCATTGGAAAAATGAGGATTAGTAATATGTTTATAAAAATAATAAATAATATATTCATTCAATTAACTCTATTTATAAAAAGTGAGATATTAACTAACTGGATAAAATAATTACACTTGAAACGATTTTCCAAAATATAGATAACACAGTAATGTTCTTTATTTTTAGATCAAAAAACAAAATATTGTCTTTTTTTCTTATAATAATGTCACACTCAGTTCAGAAGTTAGTTGGACTAGATAATCGTAGATGCGACAAAGGTTGAGAGCTAGACTAAATTATTTATACAGAGTGGGTTTCACTGAGGTTCTATACCACTCTACACAAAGATTGTGCAATTAAAGGGCAGAGATTCAGAGGTAACGTAAGAATAATATTTAATTACGAATATCAAACTAATAACTATTTACTAACAAAATACAACTTTAATTCACAAATAACTATAAAATTTACTAATAAAATTCAAATAATATCTTTTCCAAACCACAGAATAGGTTTATTTCAAAACAATAGAAGAATTATATGAAATATAGAATCAAACACGATTCATCAACTTTGTATGGTCAAAGCAGTAAAGCTTTGGATTTTTTTGAGCATAAAAGGAATAAAGTTATCAATTTTAAAAGAATAAAAGCGACGTACTTGTTAGGTAAGAGTTAAAAATAATTTTTCTTCGAATCGCACATTGACTTGTTCCTCTGACTTTCCTTTATATACAATTTGATTAACACTACAAATCGTAAGTTACTACAAGAATTCGCGGGTCCTAACGTACAAAGTAAGGATTTTACAAAAAAGAGATGGCTATGCTTCGAAACAAAACGAATAATAGAGCTAATAGTCAAAATAAGTGTAATTATTAAAAGAATAAACAAAATATTACGCACATCACAAAATGCGAATTTGTAGAAATTAATAATA